GTTCTTACTTTTACGTTTCATAATCGTGAATTTTAATTGCGCGTAGGCTTCATTTGGATTTTCTTGTCTGTGTCTCCGTTTTAATTAAACACAATACATATTTTCCGCCTTTGCAGATTTTCGTGTTGTGTTTTTTCCAGTTTCTGCTTCTGTTTTCTTGCTGTTAGTTTTTATGTGCGCCTTAATTGCTCCGCCCCGTTCGCATCTTTTGTGAACATCTTAATTACATAATAAAAATTATTTCGCTTTTGCAATTCCTCTCAGTCCCTAACTCTAGTTTGGACTTGTTTTCATAATTTTATGGCTCGTTTAGTTTTGGGGTTAAAATGAATTATTTTTCTTGCTGATTTTAGCCAGCAGATATGATCCAATTGGAACGTGAAGAAATCTAATGCTTTTACCATAGCTTCTATTTATCATATGCGATTGCTCAGAGTCTGACTCTCATTGACAGCTAACCTTCATATTGTGATAATTTTTACCATGACTAACAGCTCGGGTCAACAAATTAGTTGTTTTCCTGTTGAATTAATAATTATTGGGATATACATATTTTTCGTTTGAACCGTAAAGAAATATTCTGATTTGACCTCACTGCATTATGTCTTATACGAATAAGCGCTCGCTTCTTACTTTTTATAGCCCGCCTTCAAATGATATGTAGAAATTGTCTTCGAGTGAAACTTGTTTATGTTATTCTCTTTGATATATGTATGTATTTATCTCTCATTATCTGTTTCCAGATGAGCGGCAAGCGTTCGCGCAGCTTCAAATGTGCGGTTCATCATCGTGATCGTGAGGTTTGCTCTGAGAACGACTTTCAGCTGGTGGTAAGTGAGCCGCCGCTCTTTAGGAAGATGGTCCATGCGGTGGCTATGGAGGTGCTGCCGGAGGAGCGCGATCGTAAATATTATGCAGATCGCTACACATGCTGTCCGCCGCCCTTTTTTATTATATTGATCACAATCGTAGAGGTGGGTTGACTTGATTCTTCTATTAGAATCGCAATTGAAGCGGAGTGAATATTATAATTGATTTATAGCTGGGCTTCTTTGTGTATCACACCTTGGCCACGGGAGAGGCGGCGCCAACGGGTCCCATACCCAGCGATTCCATGTTCATTTATCGTCCCGATAAGCGACACGAGATCTGGCGCTTTATTCTATATATGGTGCTGCATGCTGGCTGGTTCCATTTGGGATTCAACGTGGCCGTTCAGCTGCTCTTCGGCTTGCCCCTGGAGATGGTACATGGATCGACGCGCATCGCCTGCATCTACTTCTCGGGCGTACTGGCTGGCTCGCTGGGCACCAGCATCTTTGATCCCGAGGTGTTTCTCGTTGGCGCCAGTGGCGGCGTTTATGCACTGCTGGCGGCGCATCTGGCCAATGTGCTCCTTAATTACCATCAGATGCGTTACGGCGTACTACGTTTGGCGTTTATACTGATTTTCGGTAGGGACAGCGAAGATTTTTCTGCCATGATTTCTTGTAACATTTTCTCTTGCAGCCTCCTTCGACTTTGGCTTTGCCATTTATGCTCGCTATGCTGGCGAGGATCTGCCGCCTGGGCAGCTGGCCGCCACTCCAGCGGCTGTCTCCTACGTGGCCCATTTGGCTGGTGCAGTGGCAGGCTTGACCATCGGATTGCTTGTGCTGAAGAACTTTGAGCAGAAGCTGCACGAGCAACTGCTCTGGTGGATCGCATTGGGGACCTACACAGCGCTCGTTGTGTTCGCTGTCGCCTTCAATGTTCTAAATGGAGTCACTTTGTTTAATATGCGCGTGGAGAAGATTAGGTTCACCCAAACTTACTTTAATGACTTCCAGGTGTAACTGGAAATCGTGTTCAAAATCGATTTTTGTTGAAAATTTTTGTTATTTCGTTTATCTGTTTTCTAACTGGACAGTGAATAAGTTTATAGTTTATAAATTCTGTTTTTTTTTTTCGTGATTTTCTTTCTTTTTGTAAGTTCATTTACTGCGTGCAATATACGTACAGACATTCCGACATATATGTATTTGTATAGCATATAATATATATAGACAATCGTCCATACGTTATCAAACGCAATTCGTTCCATTTTTCGATGCTTACGTTTGAAAGTACAAATGTTTGAAAAGAATCGATGCGAAAATATCGTTAATTGAAGTCGATGAGATGAAAGTGTATATTTACAACAAATTGGAACTGATTAGATTTGTAAACTGCTAAAAACTTGATGCTCAAGGAAAATATGATCTTTTTTATAAACTTAAGCAGAATCGAAATGGATATTCAAGTGAATACAATAATGTAATTAATCTATGTATACAGAGAATTATGTATAAGTGCTATGTATATTGAAACCGATGTATTCCAACGTTTTTCCAGAACTGTTCCACTGCAGGCCTTACATACATACATATATACAATGAATGACTTTATTCTCAGACTACCTCAAAATTGGGAAAAATTATAAAAAGCTAAAATGTGTAATCGGTTTCAAAATTTATATATGTATAATAAATATTCAAACTGCCCTTAGACAAAAAGAACAAAAAAAATTACTGCCAGCTTTAGTGAATAAAAACAGCACCAACTACACCCTTTATACTGTATTTTGTACATTTTGTACATAATTAAAAAAATAAAAATAA